TAAATCAAGTACAAGCTGCGCTAGCCAAAATAACTTTGCTGGATACAACCAGAACAGATGTTAAATCGTGAGACACCAATTTAACATTTGGGATGCTAGATTCATATACACGGAAGATCTTAATATACAAGCATCGCTACAAAAAACCAATAAATAAGAATACGATATACACGTACCATTTTTCTTAACGCCCTCCTATAAAAAATATCTGCATTTTATCAAAATAGAGTTTTTGAAGTTATGTCAATTTTCATTCTCATGATATTTTCAATTTATTAAGTATGCATATATCTATGCTTTTTACCTCTATAACGATCACTTAATTTAGTTTATTTCAAATTTCAGCGGAAAAGGAAATAGAAATCTCTACCAAGACTCTGGACCCGGCTATGATTGGAGTACTGGTTGGTATGGCGCTGATGTTCGTCATTATTTGTGTCGTTTTGCGGCTCTTTAGCAGGTAACACTTTTGCTAAGACCAATATTTCTTATACAGTATAAAAATACATTTTTTTCAAACGGGTACTTAAACTGTTTAGAGAAGCATGTTTATGCGAATTTAAATATTGATCACAGTGGGGCTGGTCTACTTTGTAATTTTAAAATGTATTTCATTATTTTCCGTAGCGCGTGATTTTAAGATCTATTGATAAATCTCTATATAAATTGTTTTATGGTGTTATTTAACGTCATTAGGATATTTTGTGAACTAATGTAATTGAGACCATAAAGAACAACGATCTTTACATTGTATCGGTTCTGAAGACATTAAACTATATAAATAAAATACATCTTATTTTTGCAGAGCCCGATGGAGGGAGAACAGAACAATTTTTAACACCCCTAATCCACGACTCATGAACGTGTCTCTACTAAGAGACTCAAAACTTTTGCATGCTCAGGTAATCGCTATAATTAAATAAGATTTTTTTAATTCTTCACATTCTAAACAATCATACAACTAAATCTTGAATAATTAAATTAACCATAATTTACCAAGGGCTTGTTTTGTCTTCATATGTATTAATCTAGCTTATACTAACGAATATGTAGAGTTTTACGACTATGCCTAACCATTAAATTTGCACACCGGCACAAAAAGCCGACACCATGAAGTTAGCTGTAGTCAACATTTTAGTTTTTTCTATTGCTAGTTTTTTCTTCAAACATACAATAAAATTTTAACATCTAACGCGTGTAACTTTTAACGCATAAGTACACACACGTTTTTTTTTCATAATATCGGAAGAAATAGAATCCGATACTCTTGGCCCTTATTACTAGTTAGTTCGTAGTTTAAGGAGTTTTAAATTATCGCCAGGTAATGTAACAATTGTTATCAAATTTATAATTGTATATTAATAATGTTTCAGGATCGACGTGGTTCTCGAGTAAGCGTTCGACCTCCGTCACGACAAGCTAGCCAGCAGGAACTGAGACCTCATTCACCAAGTCCAGGTGAACATATTATTTAATATATTATAATTTTTTCCTTCAGCTTCAATTTCATGTTTAATGTCGAACAACCTTACTGAATACGTAGTGACTCTAACCATCCACTTATAGCTTCAAAGGACTGTCTTTCCCGTAGAAAGAGAACCGGGAATGATTTTTACAGACCAATCTTATAACGTAACTTTTAAAAATCACAACTAATAATAATCTAATGTGTACCTAATATAAATAACGAAAACCAGAATGTATTTAAATAAATCTAGACTACTTTTTAAAGAATTTAAAAAAACGTATTGAATCGTCAAGGAAAGATTTCACTTGTTTTGAGTAAGGTTTTGTTCATTCCCTTTAAGGCTTCTCGGTCTTAATGCAGCGTTTTTACTTTGCCACCAGATGGCGTTAAAGACAACTGTTTAGTTTGGGACGTAGTCCCTAGATGTCGTTTAACCAATTTATTGCTACATTGATTGATGCTTCATCTTTTTATGCATTAATTAAATAAAAAGCGCTCCATTACGACTAATTAAATTTTCTACTTTCTTATCCTCGCTGTTTCTTCACTTTTAACTCTAGCTATGCTTCTATCCTATATTTGTTATAACCGCCATCTATGAATTGTAAGAATAGGCTTCGGAAAGAATTTTACTTTCTAAAAGTAATATTGTAAAAAATGTGATATAAAATGTAATTTAACAACAAGTATTGTGTCATTAAGGAATTAATTAACAATACAAAACACATTTTTTCTTAGTTAATATGTTATCAACTATTATATTTGATCTTATCAATATATATGTATATCTATATATTGCCTACACTTACCTACTTACCTACATTTTATTTTGTACATTTTGATTTTATATACAGTAGTAAAAAATTCAATAATGGATTATCATCAAATAATTTTTTGGGTGGAATCATGTCTTTTTCTGAGTAAGGCAAGCTGACTACATATTTAAATACTTTACGCGTCACTCATAATATAAGTTATTTTGTTAATTAATACTTTTAGTTATTATTTTTAGTATTGCATTAAGACTAAAATATTACCCAGTAATATCTATCGATATAGGGACGTTATTTTTGTTTGACATATATTTAATTGGTGGTTTTAATAAATAAAGTCATTGTGTAATTCATACATTATTTCATCTACCAACAGCACGTCCTCACCAAAGCCATCAGCTCCACAGAAAACACTCAGGTTACTTGAAATTATTTAAAATTTTCGCTTTTCTATAGAAAATAGGCATGGTGAGATTAATCAAGAACGTAGTACATACGAAAATGTATATACCTGAAAAATATGTTAGTAATTCTTATAGGTTTAAGTCTAAGTCAAGTTGTAAATTTTGAGTAGCCATACAATTTTGGAGTAGTAAGATTCTACTTAATCGTTAGCTTACGATATTAATAAAATATCCAGTTGTTTTAAATAACTACACAGTGTTAATATTTTTAGGCAGTTTAAGGTAGACTAAGTAGGAGAAACGTCATTATTTGATAGACATAAGTTTACTTTAAGTACTTTTGCTGCATGCTGAGTTAAGTTTTGTTTAAGCATGAGTTTGCTTGTTTCCACTTGGAATTGGCTGAATCATTGCATGAATTGTAGCGTTAAGCTAACTCGTCCACGAATTGATGTTATTACTATGACAGGTTCTCGTCGTGGTTCGAAAGCAAGCAGTGGTCATTCGGGCACCTCTTTAAGGTCAGCTACTCTTCGATCCCCTAACACAACGGGACCCACTTCGGTTACCGTCGAAATACGTCCACCAGACGCTTGAATGTCGAATGACAGCCAGGTAGTACAAAGGAAAGTTGCAATAATTCAAATTATGTCCAAATTATAATGTTTGTGATCAAATTTATCAGGCGCTTATATTTATAAGCATTTTATAACTGCTATTCGGCAACGCACTGATGCGGTGAATACCTTTTAAAAGTGCCTCTTAATGAAAAGCTTAAAATTTGAATCTAATAATATACTAACATAAATTAGTATTAAGCCACATAAATAACGTTTAAAATTACCACATTTTACAGTTTCAATCACTTTAAAGTATATAGCACCAAAACGATATAGGTATAGAATTAGCTTTTTAAGCTTAAAGGTATAGCTTTTTAGCTTCTTTGTAGGTGAATAATTTGAAAAGTCTATTATTAGAGTTTAGCTGGTATAGTCTTTGAATTTCACGTAAGTTTACGCTAGATATGCCTTAGATTCTATTAAAAACTATAAGGTAGTTATATTTATGGGGACCACCTCCTTCTAGGAGTGACCTGTTATTTTTGAGAATATCGAGATGGGAAAGCCTCTATTTCGCTTCGAAACTAATAGAATAAAGTATAGATAATTTAGTTTGGAATTAGTGGGAGTTGAAAGATATAGATTAAATTTTCTTCTTAAAATGTGTAAAATTGGGGAAGTTTACACATAGGCTTAAGGCTTTGTGCACATTGGGAGCTTAGATAATCGCAACGCACAAGCGAGTTAATAAAATTAGAGATTATAAAATATTTTTAATAAACTTGAACTGATAAATGTATCATGGTCATTTGCGTACGGGAGATATTTCAATATGGGGAAGAATTGATGTATCATCCGTACTATTAAATCATTAAATCATTTGGATATAATAAGCTAGTATATCTTTATAATATGCTCACGATAAAAATTATATACTTAAAACACTGTGCTAGTTATATTATGTCTACGACAATGCTATGATTTACTTATATAAACTTTTATTATACTTCTGAGAGTTGTTTCATTTCTTCCTTCCCTCCTTCTTTTTAGTTATAAGAAATTATTGAAGTTAACTTTATTACCGCTGGTAAAGGGACATACACACTGGATTCAGTCATAATCAATAAAGACCTTAAAAACAAACGAATACAAATGTTGGAGATCAGCAGTAGTCACCTTAACACATCAATAGTATTTTTTTTTATAGAACTGGGCGCAAATGGGCAGGAGGCTCGCCTGATGTTAAGTGATACCGCCGCCCATGGATACTCAATGCCAGAGGGCTCGCGAGTGCGTTACCAGCCTTTCAAGAATTGGTACGCTCTTGAAGGACCCTAAGTCGAATTGATTCCAAAATTATTCAGTATGCAGCTGGTTCCACAAAGTGGTGCGTGGCAAAATCTGCCTTGAAAAACGCTCAGTTGTGGAATGGCAGATGTCGAGGTGATACGGGTGGAATTTCGTATTCTGCCTCGACCTCCGGTGATGAAACTCAGCTGCAGGTAGGCTCTCCATAGTAAATGCGGTAAAAGATGCAGTGACATTTCTACGCAACGCCAAAGGATCAAGCCGCTCAGAGAGGGATTGATCGTCGACGATTCGAACCGATGCGTTGAATACGATCAAGTGGAAGGAGCTGGTACTGGGGAGCCCCCGCCCAGAGGTGAGAACAGTACTTCATGTGGGGCTGAATTTGTGCTTTATAATCTTTTACTCACACCTTTGGGAACAAGACACAGTGTCAGCTTAATTAGGTATCTGCCAAAAGTCTCAATGGCTTTTAAATAATCTCATTTCACTCATTACTTGTAAAACCAAATACATATACCTGAGTAAGTGACGACTTACTCAGGTATATATATATACCTGATATATACCTATAAGTAAGAAGCATGAAACCTGTATAAGTGACAGTCATTTCTGACGCGTGATCCTCTATAAGTGAGAATGATACTTGCCTATATCTCTATAAGCGACCATAAATATATTTTAACTTCTACTATTTATGACTCATTCTTAAATTTCGAGGGACTCTTATTTAATTCAAACCAAATGTGCGTCTGTTATTGTTTTCTATAGCTTTATGAACTTACTTTGAAATTCCAACAAAACGAGACGTTTTAAAGACATTGGAGACGCTTTACAAATTTTATGAACATATGGCGGTTGATCAAAATATATTTTATAAACTTTTTAACACTTAAAAAACATACACAACATTTAAAAACAGAATCCCAAAATAAATTAACATATTTTTTCAAGTAATAGTTACTATATATATTATTAAAATTAGACATTTAGGTTCACCTATTAATTTAATAAATATGTAATACCCATACAAACACGTGATTATTTTTAATTGTATTTATATATTGTATTTCTAACTGTATATATGTTTTCACATATCGAAGTCCAGAAAACCAAACCGCCTACTAAAATGCACTCCTATTTGAACCTATACACCAACTGCAACTGTCCTTTCCTGAAAAAAAAACAAGTACCTGGATTTAATCATTAATTCGAGGCTTTGAAGTTTTCGAACTCGAGAACAGAGGTAGTTTATTTGAGGTGGGGCCCTGTAAACTCATAAATGTTTTCAAACGCCTCTGAAAACCTTTCGATCCATACACAATGAAGATACGCCACGTGTTTGCCTGTATTATGACAGTCGATATTATCTTACTGCATCTCGGTATGGGATGGAGCGGCTTCTTCAATGGTGAAAATAGAGCGTGCCCAACACGCCGTTCTTAAAATTTCGTATATGAAACTTTTTCGCTTCCCAACTTCATAATCGTGCAATAAAACAAACCTTCTAACGGTACTACAACTATACTTAACAATATGACAACGATACTTGGAAACAAACACCAACCACAACGACATCATACACAACCCAAACCTACTTAGCTAGCTTTAAGCTACCCAAAAAACGCACTTTCTTCAACAATTTTTTTTCTTTCAGAGGCCCTTTCATCTTTAACCAATTTCTTAAAAATAAAACTTTCACTTTCGATTCAAGACTTCATAAATTCACTAACAATCTTAATCTCAACAATACATTTTCTCAACGTGTCCTATGCTGAAAAAGTGTTATGTTGAATTTATTCTCCAATAGCACTTTTTCAGCAGCAAGCAGCGCCTGTTCTCAACAGTACAATCTCGCATCCTTACTTTTTTCGGACACGTATCTCGACCTGGTGATCAGTCCATAGAACGCCTTGTCGTCCGTCGCGGAAGGTTACCTACTCGATGGACTGACCAGATCCAGTCTGCCATAGGAGGTTCACTAAATAAGTGCAGTAAGATGATACCCTCATAGGCAACGATGGCGAAACGTCGTGAAGCGAATCACATCTGCCCCTTCTAATACTACTACTACATAGCGATCACGACCGCTCTGTCAAGAGTGAATTGTTGAAGATATTTTGTCCCAAATTATAAATCTGTCACATGGAAGAGACTAGCTGCTGACACAGGGAATCCTAGTGTGAGGGCTAGTGCATTTTCTCTTTTTAATTATACATCATTTCTTTATTATGGGTATTAAAGTTTTTTTTTCTTGATTTGCGAATCTAATTCAAATACACTGTGTCTCTTCATTGATGTTTTAAAATTTCTACCAAGTCTTTTTGGAATAGTTGTGGAAACATCCATCTTCCGAAGTTAGGAAACTGATTTACAAGCTTATTATATAATATATTTACATATTACAGTATAAAAAGGTTTAAGTGTTGGAGCAGACAAAAGTAATGTGGGGTAAATTGGGGAGGTTCTGAGTTTGACTTCCACCGAAACTAATTTTAATCACCGGTGACTGCTACATGTCCCAATTTAGTCTGCAGCCTTGAGATTCTGTAACTCACTTTTCGAACTCACACAGCGGTTTTCGCATCAGCGCTGATCAGCAGCAGTCATTTTATGATTTGGCATTCTGATAAACAATAAACTTCAAGCTCCCACCTTACAGAATGCCAAATCATAAAATGACTGCTTCTCGACTGATTTGAGAGCGACCGCCGATGCGAAAACCGCTGTGTGAGTTCGAAAAGTGAGCTACAGAATCGCAGGGCAGTACTTCAAACAACGCCTTGGAATTTTTAAAAGAATTTATGCAATTTTTATTTTAATATTATCTAGAGGTAAGAGTTCTCGAAATAGTGAAAATTCAGATTCTTGCTAAGGTGTTACGGGTTTATGAACATATACTTTTATTTAATTGGCCAGGTATGCGTACCTCATATGTCAGGGAATCATAAGAGCAGTATTGGCCTAGTAGCTTAAGAGTGCGATCCTCATCCCGGAGGTCATGCATAGGAACCACGGCATTAATACTTCCACGGCATACATGAAAAACCTAAAATCGATGACACGTTTGAGACACGGAATCCTAATCACCTATTTGTCTATAAAATAAATATGATCGAAGAAAGGGATGCAATCTGTGGCCAAGACCCATTTAGGGCTGTAGGCCTGACTTCAAACGAATGTATTTTACCAAGCAGAAAAGTAAATTAATTATATCTAATGCAGTGCCTATAGTTAGTGCTAAGCCCCACCTATTTCCTTGTACTTAAACCGTGGTCGATTTAAAAACAATTTTCTAAATGACTTTAAAAGTACGCCTTCCATAAATCAGTTTTCTAAATGAGTGTTTTATTGACCATAAAATATCATTGCAGAACCGCTGAACGCTAGGTTCAATTACAGAAATGGATTTTAGTTTCTTTCTTCAAAACTTTTATTTATGTTAATTTGTGCTCTATTTTGCTAGGTCTATGGCTTGCTTTCGATTGGAACAATCGGTATTAATAATTAAATAATTGGTGAAATAGGTAATAGCGGATAATAAAGCTGAAACAGGTATTGGGCGTCAAAAGATTAATTAGCCACATTGTATGTTATTTGATTGCACTAGTACAGTCGTGTACAAAAGGTAAATTGTATGCTAATAGTAGTATTTAATGAAAATTTTGCAAACATTAAGTTTTAAGAAACGTTGCAGTCCGGTTTTGGATTTTTAATATACAAGAGTAT